CCTTCTAAATAGTTCGGTTTACTAATAAGATAAAGACTAAAGACTCTTACCTAACAGTCTATCTAGACTAATATATAACTATTACCAGTCTATAAAGGACTGATTCTATTTTATTATTAGTCTCTATTATAACCTTAAGTATATAGATTATATTTATTAGCACTTTTATAGATTCTAGCTTATTAGCTATTAATAAAACTTCTTTATATTAATTAAGCCTAATATATATTAAATCTACTATTAAGAGATATAACACTTTAATAACGCTTAGTATACGCCCTATGCCATCTGCCAACAACAAACCTAGCACGGCTTAGTTTAATATAGTTAGACCCAACTATTATATATCCCTCTTATTAAAATTATAAAAAAGGATAAATAATTCTAATAAAGTAACTAAGTATAATAAGCTTTTAAATAGCTTAAGGAAGCTATTATTAATAAACCTATTCTAGTAATATTTAACCTAAATTAGCAAGTTAAACTTAAAACTAATACTTCTAACTTTACCTTAAGAGGATAAATAAGATAATAAGATAATAATAATATATTATACCTTATTACTTTCTACTTTTATAAGATATATAAAGTAAAACTTAACTATCTTATTTATAATAAAGAATTCCTAGCTATTATTAACTACTTTAAGGAATTTAAATATTATCTTAAAGGAAGTAAATACCTAATAAAGGTATTTACTAATTATAAGAATATAGCCTATTTTATAATAATATAAGAATTAAATTAATAATAATTATAATATGCTAAATACTTATATAAATTTAATTTTATAATTATATACTATAAAGGCATAGATAATAAATATATAAATACTATTAGTAGATAACTTAATCTCAATATAAGAACTATTAAAATTAAGGAATAACTTTTAAAGTTTAATTTAAAGGGAAAATACTAATTTACCTAACTAGTTAAGATAATTATAAAAGTAATTAAAAAACTAAAACCCCTATTAAAATACTAAGTATTATTATATTAAAATAGAAAATAAGACTTTATTAATTAGCTTAAAGGATTATATTATAATTAATAAAGTAATATAACCTACTTTAATAGAAAAATTAAAATTCTTAGTAAATATATAATAAAAATCTTTAATTACTATTATAATTAAATACTATATAATAGAGATTATATTAAAATATAAACATTATAAATAAAATTTATAATAATATAAACCTAAAAAGCTATATTTAAAATTTAATAGCTAATTATAAGAAATATAAATTAATTAAAACTATTACTTAAATATAAAAAGTAAAAAGCTTAAAAAATAAATAAAAGAAGCTAAGGCTAGAGAACCTTATAACTTGTAAGAAATAACCTTTAGTAATAGAAAAAGAATACTATATATACTATTTATCCTAAATAAGCTTAGAAAAGAATTAATATAGGATATATATAAACATCCCCTATATGGCTATTAAGGCATTATAAAAACATTAAAAAGGATATAAGAAAAATATAATATAAAGGGAATAAAGAAAATAATAAAGAAAGTTATTTAATAATGCAATCTCTGCCTAAAAATAAAAGCTTAAAGGCATAAACCTTATAAATAATTATAACTACTACTAGTAATATAATAACCTTAAGACTTAATTATAATAGACTTTATAACTAAGTTACCTTTATTAGAAAAACCCTTAACTAAAATCTTTTATAATAGTATTATAGTTATTATAAATTAACTTATAAAATTTTCCTATTACCTACCTTATAGAGAAGTAATAAATATAAAAGAACTTTCTTATATTTTTTATTAATATATTATTAATATATATAAATTACCTATAGAAATCCTCTTAAATAAAGGACTTATATTTGCAGTAATATTTTAATAATTACTTATAATATAACTTAGACTAAATTACTAACTTATAATAGCATTTTAGCTATAAGTTAATAAATAAACTAAATAAATAAATTAAGTACTTAAATAATACTTATAATATTATATTAATTATAAATAAAATAATTAAGTTAAGAAACTACTAATAGCCTAACTTGCCTATAATACTATATATAATAAAAGCATAAAGATTATACTAGCCTATACTAACTTTAAATTTATACTAGATATATATTATAATATATAATAAGAAAAATTAATTAACCTAGCTATTATACTTAAAACTAATAACCTTAAAAACCTATATAAATAAATAAAAATAAAACTTAAATTTATTAAAAAATATATAAATAACTATTATAACCTAAAATAGTTAAAGGGACTAACCTTTTTAAAGGGAGATATAGTTTACCTAACTATAAAAAACATTAAAACAGATTAACTAACTTATAAATTAGACTATAAATTTATTAAACCTTATAAGGTATTATAGAAAATTTTAAAAAATAATTATAAACTAAACTTACTATTAAAAGTTAGGCTTTATTTAATCTTTTATATTTTATTACTTAAATTAGCAGTAAATATAATATAAGTTAAAATAGGCAATAAACTATAATAAATTATAAGACTAGAAACTTATAAAGTAAAAGTAATTAGGAAAATAGATATAATTAATAAATAAAGAATATACCTAATTAAATAGAAAAATTACCTAAAAAACAAAAATATATAAAAACCTTTAAAATATCTTATTAATGCCTAATAACTCTTAAAGAATTTTTACTAGTAATACTAATAGAAAAATTCTTACCTTAATTAATAATATTAAAAGCGCCTGCTAATTAAGCCTTAATAGTAATAAATAACTTAATATTATCTATTACTTTTAAGTTATTTATAGTTTTAATATTATAATAAAGTATCTCTTTATTATACTTTTATAGCTACCTCTTTTAATAATAAAGATATATTAAATAACTTAATTATTTATTTACTTACTATTATAAGTTTATTAATTTAATCTTAGCTAACTCCTCTTTATACTTTAATTAATACTTCTTAATAATAAAATAATTAGCTATAATAAGTTAATAATAAAAATTATATATTAAGAAAAAACTTATAAACCTTTAAAAATAATAATACCCTTACTATTATACTTATAACTATAATAAGTATATTATATATAGTACTTATAACCCTCCTTAGCCTAATACTTTAAGTTTTAAGGTTTATAATAACTATAAGGTATAATAAGAAAACTAATATTTTTAATTAAAATTACTTATACTTTTTAGTTATAAGTAGCTTTTAACTCTAATATCTTATTAATATAATATTAAAAAGATAATTATAAGTTTAAGTTATACCTATTAAAAGAAGGATAGTTAAAATAAGAGTTATGCAGGTCTTAAGAACAAGACCTAATAAAAGGGAGATATTATATTATAATCCTTATAGTTATATTATATAAAACCTATAAATTTCCCCTAATTAATTAATAACTTATACTTTCTTCTTATTTCTATTATAAGCCGCTTAATAAGACTTATAATTAAACTTATAACTTATATATAAATACTAACTTACTATAGTAAGTTATTATAAGTATATAAAATATATTTATTAATACTTTTATAAATTCTAGCTTACTAGCTATTAATATAATTTCTTTATATTAATTAAGCCTAATATATATTAAATCTACTATTAAGAAACATAATACTTTAATAACGCTTAGTATACGCCCTACGCAATCTGCCAACAATAAACCCAGCACGGCTTAGTTTAACACAGTTGGACCCAACCGTCACAAGCGGGGTAATCGCGGGGTTCCGGGACCAGGAAAATGGAAGAAATGTATTAAGTTTTGTGTGAGTTTAGTTGCCTGAAGTTAAAGACCTGAAGTCGTGACTGAATTTGGCGTTGGCGGCGAAATGAGGATTAAATAAGTTATAAGACAGATTATATAACTAAATAAGTAAATTAGCTATAACATTAGTGCACTATTAATATAAGCAGGGGTTATAATATATTATAATTTTATTATTTATTATATAATACCTTATTTAACTTAACTTTTAATTATAATTATTTATAAATTTATAATTATATTATTATATTATTTTAAAAAGGTATATAATTACTTAATTAAAATAATACTTATTAAATAAGAGTATATAATTAAAGTTTTTATTTTAAATATGTTATTAAAGTAAAAAAAAAAAAAAAAAACATTAAACTTAAAAAACTATAATAATATATATATAAAAATTAAAAATACTTAAATAAAAAGAGCTATATTAGCCTTATAAGGGTAGCTATTATAAGAAAAAAGTTTTATTATTTTATTTTTTTAAGATAAATAATTAATTTATTAAGCTTTTTATATTTAAATTAAAAATAGTATTATGCCTTTTGTTTTATAATTTATTATTTAAATAACTTTATTTTAAGATCTTAGCCCGTTTTAGCTAAGTTTGAACTTTTAAGAGTTTTCTTAAAACCTCTATTTAAGGAGTAAACCTAAGTGTCGTACTTATTAGTTTCTTGCACTTACTACTGGAGTATGTTAACACAATAATAGCTCTTAAACAACCGCCAGTATCTCAACAGAATATGCCCAAGCGCGTCTGTGCACGCGTCCGTGCCCCAAGCACTGCCGATATCTCATAAAAAATATACGCTTTTCTCCCGTCACCCTTGCAGGGTTCTTCCCCTGGTAGATACTGCGCCGCCGGCGCGCGTCCAGCAGTCCCGGGCAAACACATCCATACCATGCACATCCAATCCAATGCTTGGTGAGCCGGACTCAGAGGACCATGGACATTGCCAAGACATAGAGTATAAACTTCATCGAATGAGAGAGCCTTCCACCCGAAACTGAAGGTAATCGTTCTTTATTAACTCACCTATCTTTAATTTGACTTCAATTCGTCCTTTTCGCTTCTGGTGTGGGCTGTATATGCATGCCGTTGGTTGACAGATCCTAATCCGGCCAGATCGGATCCAAGCAGTTATTATCTAATGCAGATGAGAATGCGGCGCATCGTCTCTAAAGCATGTAGACATCTATATAAAGTCCTCATTTCCTGATACAATTCATTTACGCCGATACATTGATGTTCTGTATATCTCTAGGCTGCAGCGAAGTGTGGGCCTGAGCGTGCCGTTAGGACGCAACGTCAACCTTCAGTCAGCGGCTTGGTGCGCAACCTAATACATTTGCCCGACTATAGCGTGTTTTATACTCCCAACGACCATTTATATCGCTCCTCTCTGCTTGCCAAAATCGAAACCGACACATCACAGTTATGAGTTAATTAACAAACCCTCCTTATATTGCCCTCGCTACGCGCTACTCCCTATTACCGTTGCCACTGCGTCATTACCTCATCGTCTCCCATTCTAGCAGCACATTTTCCTTTGGATATCTGATACTGTTCTACTTCGGAGTACGATTTTCCTTTTGTAGGTCCCTACCGCACCGCCGGAATATACCAAACCATACACCCATTATGCAGGGTAAGAAGTTTGTCTCTCCGCTCGATCGGTGTCTCCCGGCCCATAACACTGATATTATGGCTGTAGCCATTTTTTCCTCGCTCGCCTCTGTGGTCAGGCTCAGCGCTATGATGACATGGTCCCCCTTCTGAAGCAAGTCGTCAAGAGAGGTGGTGAGCTGAGTGTCGATGAGCGGAACCTTCTCACTACTGCTTTTAATAAAGCTTTCGACACCCGTCGTGCCAGCTGGCGCATTATCTTCTCGATCGAGAAAAATCAGTACAAGGGTAGTGAGAAACATTTTGCTACCATCCGTGGATACCGCATTAAGATTGAGAATGAGATCGAAGAGATCTGTCGGGACGTCTTAGATCTGCTAGACCAGAGCCTGATCCCAAATGCCAGTACTGGCGAGTCAATGGCATTATATTACAAGATGTATGCCTATTTTAGTGGTCTCCCCTTCTCGAGAATACTTTGGCTGACTCCTCATGTTTTAAGGAAGGGTGACTACAGCCGTTATCTGACCGAGTTCGTGTCGGGTGAGAAGCACAATCGTGCAGTTATCTCTGCGCATAATGCCTACAAGGTGGGTTCAAAATCTGTTGGCTTATAATTCAATCAGCCAAGGTATACTGAATTGAGGATTTTGTTTTCTTCCTAGATTGCTGCCTATGTTGCTAAGACAGAGTTCACAGCCGCTCACCCATTTAGGCTGGGCTTGGCTGTCAATTTCTCTGTCTTCTACTACAGAATTCTGAATTCACGCGATCGTGCCCGGTATCTTGCGAAACGTGCTTTTGACGATGCCAAGGCCGAGATCGATGTCCTAACCAAGGAGCCTGATGACGACAGTATCCTTCTCATGCAACTCCTTTGCATCAACCTGGCCCTTTGGGCGTCTTCAGACAGTGGTGAGCGTGAAGGGATTAGCTGCAGAAACTACATGCACCTCTGCTCATCACCACACCATGTATCCTTGAGAAAATCTGGCACATATCACCAAGGTAGCTCATGACTCGACAAGCGCTACCTAGCCAATCTTTAGGCGAGTAAAAATCTGCCATCCTCTTGTTCTCTCCCGTATTATAATAGAAAAGAAAGTTATTTGATTCTTGTCTATTTCCTTGGGGGAGTGCCCTTACTGTCTTATAGTTTATATCCCTATTATTTATCTTATTTTTAGTAGAAGAGGAAATTTACTACCTTTTATTAGCTTATATCCTTATAAAATCCTCTTTTACTAAAAGAGGGATAGTATTTTAGAGGTCTTAATAGAGTTTTTAATTAAAAGTATATAATAACTATTCTTAATAGCTGGTTCATTCCTTTAATATAACCTATGTAGCTAGCTTTATTTTTATAGCACAGAGCGATACTACCTACTGTATAAAGGATTGTCATGATCCCGCCGCATTATCTACTTTTCCTCTGTGCCAACCGCGGTCACGCAGATTTCCCCGGCGTTTTGCCGCTCCAAGCCATCGGACGACGAAACGTCGTCCATGCTCCACTTTTGGTTTTGCCAACAACATCGCTTTGTGAACTTTTCTTCTTGGCAAGTATCACCACGCTTGTATTCATCACGATAGCCTAGTGCTACATACCAAAATCAATTCTAGTAGAATTAATTTATTTTACCCCGCATTACAGGGGGTAGACTTGATTTTTGCAGGGGGTACAGTTGAATTGTATAAAGGGTAGCCTTGAATTTCTAAGTTTCTAATTAGTGCAGTTATACGTGAAGCATACCATAACGCAACGTGTAAAGTTTTAGCTCAGGTTCATCGTTCATCAACATTACCTGCAAATGTAAACTGCGGCCAAGAGTTTAATCTCTCTGAGACCGATTTATTAAGTCATAACGCTTAACTCTGTAACAGAGCCAGGGTCTTCTAATCCTTTATATCCCTACTATGATAAGTGTCTATTATAATATACCAAATTATACAAAATCTGGCCTGTATATATATTAAGATTCTTCTAAATATAAGTAAGATTATCTTAACACTCTATTTATTTTTTATTTTAATTATAATTTCTTTAATATATATATTAGTATGATCTCTTTTACTAACCTTTAGTATAGTTAAGCACTAATAATACAAAAATCAATATATTTATTTAAATTATATACTTATAGGCTTAGGTAAGTAGCCCTGGCTAAATAATACTAAATTATTAAGTGCAAGGAGAGTTAGCTCTAAGCAATTAGGACTATAGAATAGTAAAATAGCAGTGTAATTTCTTGCCTGAATCCTAGAAGGAGCTGCCGCAAGAGCAGATCCAAGCCTAGATACAGATAATTCCTTATTATATTATAAAAGATATTAAGATTAAAGGAAGGAATAAGTACCTAGAAGGCAGGGATTATCCCCTAGTAGTTTGACCTATTTTTAGATATTTTTTTTTTTTTTTTTTTTAAATAGGGGTTAATTTCAACTTTCTGCGCAGACCTCTATAATTTGCAATAATAGGGAATCAGTATCTAGGAGATAGAAACTGTAGAACATTAGCGTTATCTCGTCTCCTGGGGAAAGAGAAAACTGAGTCGATCTATTGCCATTTGTGGTTTTCATGGAAACCCCTCTTGAACGCCATGATTTGACCGGCTGCAGCCACAATAGGCCCGCCGTAGGGGCCTGAACCCGGCGGAGACTGTGGTCAGGGAGCTGTACGAGTCGCCATTATTGCTGCATAGCAACTGCCGTCCACGCATCAGCCAACAATGCTCCTCCTCGGCCACCTGGCAGCCTGATTCAACGACCTCTCGGCGCGCGAAAGTTCTGGCTCTCCCCGGATGGGTTTTGAGGACATGTGAAGGAACGAGGTCTGATGGGGAAATTGTTCTTTTACGATATTTACTTGTTACCACTGATGCCTCAGCAGCCCCGCCTTTCTTCCTCAGTCCCCTTCACGATCCCCGATTGCTTCCCCAATAAGATAAAGAGACCAGGGAGAAAGGGGACAGAAGAACCAGTCGAGCCGTCACCACGGCTTTTGAGTATAAACTACACCATCAGATCCGGTTCCCAGCGAAATCAGTGGAAGCCACGTCGCCATCGACGAGTCCAATCCTGTGCTTCAATTCATACCCACCTCTCAGCCTCAAATTGCTCATCGTGACTTAAACCGCTCACCACTCGAACTCCATTTCAACGCACCAAGGTTAATAACGCAGCAGCGTCAAGCGAATCTGACCTATTTTTGCTTCTGCTTCTTTCAGCATCGACCCAACATCTCTCAGCACTATCGTCATCGCGATGCCTGGCCTCAGAAACCACGCACTCGGCTCCTGGAAGTCCTTAACCAGCGACGATTTTCTGCGAAGCGGAGCCTCGGCGTTTTGAAACTTGAGTGGAAATTAGCCCATGATTCTGGTAGTCTTTCACTTGATAATTGGGCATTGGAGGGGGCTGAAAGCAATATTTTAGTAGACGAAGGCGTTGACTGCAGCAATTCGTAAAACTAGCCCACTTTTAGAGGCCCTGCCAATACCCAGGATCGTGGCTCATGCCTTGAAGCCGGAATACATGGCTGCCTCCACGACAAATGCCCTTTTCTATTGCATTGCATTATGACCTGACCAATGAGTTCACGCCTTGCAAGCATCCAGCAGCCTTATTAAATGTGAAAGGCTATCATACCCGCACTAGCAATCCGTGGCGTACTGAATCAACTTGAAATGGCACTCTCGTCAGACTCAGTTGCCTTACTCCATCCAGAAGACAACATATGTGTAAGGCCAACATCCAATCATATTTACGATGAGAAATATGTGTCTCAGCCTCAACTCTAACTATTGAACCTTAATCTCATGCCGGCAGGCTAGAAAGATCTGCCCCGGGCCGACATCCGGCTGCAGAATCCCGGCTTGGCAGCCCAGCAATGAAAGATATAACTCAGGCTCCCTTCCGCATGAAAATATAGTGAACTTAGAATTCTCTGCATCCCCCATCATAAAATACATAAACCAAACCAGAAACAGAAAATACACACATACACATATGAAATCCATTATCGCACTCACCGAGCACGGTGGTTACTTTCTCAGTGAGCCAGGATATCAGTACACGTGAGTATCTACCCTGACTCCAGTGCTTTCAGTTATAGAACATATTAATATTAGATGTCTAGATATAACCTGCCAGATTGGTTTAAAGACATCATCAGGAAGGCCCTTGAAATCTATTGTGTAGCATTTGGCCCTGGAGATGCCGCCGTGGTTACCTACCTAGATACCCAGAGTGGGTGTCTACAGTTGAGTATGTTCTAAAAGAACCCCCGAACACCACAGCCTGATTTAATTCGGGGTGTATAGGGATCAAAAACATTGCCTCAATGTCGGGCCTTGCCGAGTACCTTCTTGACCGCAATCCTCAAACAGGATATACGCGAGATCTGCGCCATCTCGAAGTTTCATTTGGCGGACGGGAAGGTTCGTACTGGGCTACTGATGGACGAACTAGCGTATACCGCGAGCTGCCAGAGAAGTTGGAACAAGACTTTGGCATGCTGCAAACAAAGAGTGGAGCTTGGCGCGATGGTCCGCGATTCGTTGCATTAGGTGCAAGGGAGAACTACGCCCTGGCTACCAAATGTGGAGCCTTTTCAAGCCAATTAGGAAGTTATCCTCAGGTACTTCATACTCTGAATGGAGTAGCTTCAACTCCTGCAGGTATCGGGGTTATCGGGGTTCGTACAACCTCTCATACGAGTCTGTGGCTAGAGGCCACGGGGGTCTAATTCAGCGCTGCTAACTACATTGACATTAGGGCATCTATCTCAGCTATTTCGAAGGTTCTTCCGTGGTTCAATGGACAGATGGTAGCCTTTGCGGTTTCCATCTCAGTCCAGGGGCAACGAGGGACATTGCACAAATAAACCACCAAGCCCGCTTTGCCCAAGCCACCTATTGCATGGCCCGGGGGCAGCTCGAGCAAAACATCTTTCAAGCACAGATCATGCAACAAGCGATGTTTGCCCATGAGGAGGCCGCGCTGAAGGAAATGTACCGCAAGCAGCTCGAAACCCAGCAGTGGGGTGCAGAAATGTTAGCACTTGCTAGCGGAGGGACATGGCTATGAGACGGATAAGTACGGAAGACCGAAGTAGATATTAAGACGTGCTGGAGACTAAGTAAACCAATTAGGAACTATGGAATAGGAGTGATATTAGCTTAACTATAATATAAATATAAGAAGCAAAGGAATTTTTATAAACAGTTTATATATATTAATAATATATTTATAAAAAATATAAAAAAATTCTTTTATATTTATTACTTTTTATTAAAAATATAATAAAAAACAACTTTATAAATTAAATTTTAAAAGGTATATTTAAGTATTTCTAAAATCTAATATAGTTTAAATATTTATTACCCTTATAACTAGTAAAGCTTTATTAAGTTAAATTATTATACTTAGCTATCTTAATTATAGCCTAAACCTAGCTATATATATACTAGCTAAAAAGCCTTACCTACTTATTAGCTAGCCCTAACCTTGTTCCTGTAACCTACTTAAAAGGCTACTCTTTTATTAACCTCTGCTGCCACGCTTTAATTATCCATCACGCTCCTGCAGTAAGTCATCCGACCCGACTTTCCCTTCTGGCCGCAACCACTAACAGCATTATAGCTGCACTATTATAATACTCTAAAGAAGCCTGCAGGTACCTAAGGCCGATAAGCCTTATCTGATTAAAGGCTATAATATAATCCTTAAGATTAAAGAAGCTCTTAGGCAAGATAAAAAGGGCAAGGGTAATATATTTTATATAATAGCTATAAATATTAAAAAGGCATAGTTTAATAATAATAATATTAGCTATATTAGGCTAGTAATCTTTAGTTATAAGATCCTCCTGCTTATATACCTTCTTTATATAATAGACCTTCTAATTAGTAAAGCCTTCCTTAATTCTAAAAGGCAGAGCCTTGTGGACCTAGAAGGGAAGCTACGTAGAGGGGTGCAGCCAACCAGGAGGGAGAGGAAGTTCCTCAGGGCCCTTAGCGGCGGCTTGCATGACAAGTGGCTTAAAGATATCTGGTGGCAGGCTAAGGAGGTACTGAAGAAGACTGAGGACCTGTAATGCGATGTCTGCTATAGAGGGAAGCGGGGTAATCGCGGGGTTTAGGAAAATAAAAGAAATATATTAAGTTTTATATAAGTTTAGTTACTTAAAGTTAAAGACTTCAAGTTATAATTAAATTTAGTATTAGCAGTAAAAAGAAGATTAATAAAGGCTTTTTTTAAATTATTAGTTCTTAACTTATTTTACTTTTTATTTTTAAGAAATAAGATTTAAATTATAATTTTAAAGCTCCTTTTTATTACTTACTTAATAGCTAGCTTATTATCTCTTTTTTTAATTAATTAAACTTTATAGTAGAATTAGGTAAAGAAGGTTAATAAGAGGTATATTTTTTATTTAATTACTTCTTTATTTTAGCCTTATTTAATATAAAGAAATATTTTAAAGTAATACTTTAATTTAATTATAAATTTTTAAATTAAGTATTTAAATATTATATTTTTATAAATATTTTAAGTTTTATAATTTATATTAATTTTATTTAAAAAATAATTTACTTTTTTTAATTAGTTTTATTATTTAATATTACTTTTAATACTTTAAAATATTATTTTTAATTTTATTTCTTTTTAAATATATTATTAATATTATATATAGCTTTAAGATTTAAAAATAATAATAAAATATTATTATATTATATAAATTTATTTATAATATATATATATTTTAATAGAATATAAATTAATCTTTTTAAATATTTAATTAAATATATTTTAAATATTATTTACTTATTTATTATATTAATTAAGGTTATTTTTATAAAGTATTATTAATACCTTATATCCCTCTTAATCTTTTAATATTAAGTTAATATAAGTGGTTATTAAGTATTTTAATTAAATAGTTATAAGAGTAGTATTTAAAGAGTATAATTAAGGCTTATTTTCTTTTTTTATAAGGTAATTATTAAATTTAGGCCTCCTTAGCTTTAAACTTATTAATTTACAAAATGCTTTAAATTTATAATTTTTTTAAGATTATAAATCCTCTTAATAAATATCTTTATAATATAAAATTATATAAAATATTTTTAATTATTAAGTTTATTAAAAAATAACTTTTTATATTTATAATTAATAATATCTTAATTAAAAGTTATTTATTTAAATAATATTTTATTTTATTAATTAATAATTTATTTTTTATAATTATAATATTTTTTTTTAAAAACTTAACTTTAAGATTTTTAATTATTAAACTATTACTTAATTAATTAAACTTTCTATTTAAGGCCTTTTTAATATAGCCTAGCTAATCTCTAAAAGAAGGATAAAATATTATATAATACTTCTATTTTAAAAAGAGCAGCTCCTTTAATTAAAATGCCCTGCGAATTAGTACCTAGTAGTTTAATACCTTATATATAAAAATAAATAAAGTAAAATTTGTAAAAAAGCAGTAGTTTAAATAAGGGGTAATTTTAATATATTACTTTACTTTATAATTAAATAGGGAATAATTACTAAAATAGCTTTATTTATATCTTATTAAATAGCACTAAGTTTTTAAATTAATCTTTTATATATTAGTCTTATATTTAGTTATAAGCTTAAACTTTATTAATAACTAAAGTTAATAGCGTTAAAATTAGTTAATTAAGTAATACTTCTTATACTTATTAAATTATTTAATTAATAACTTCTTATAAGCTTTACTTTTATATAAATTAATAAATTTAAGATAAATTCTTTATAATTTAGCCTTTAAATGCTTTTATATATATTTAATTAAATTTATATTAAGAAATTAATTAAGTTATTTAATTAAAATAAGCCTATATAAAAGTAATTAGTTTCTTATAGCTTTGGTAATATATATAAGTATTATCTTATTAAAAATTACTAAATTTATTAAAAAAAGGAAAAGACCTTTTATTAAAGCTTTATAATAAAACTAGCTAAAATAACCTTATTTTTTAAATATTTTATTTTTTATTATAAAGATAATATATATCTTTTTCCTTTTAGAAATTCTTACTTAAAATATAATTAATTAAAAGCTTTTTTATAAAACTAAATATTAATAAGGTTATTTTTTTTTTTTTAAGTTTATAAGTTAGCCTTAAAAGGTATATTTAAGTATTTTTAAAATCTAATATAATTTAAATATTTATTACCTTTATAGCTAATAAAGCTTTATTAAGTTAAATTATTATATTTAGCTGCCTTAATTATAGCCTAAACCTAGCTATATATATGCCAGCTACAAAGCCCTGCTCATCAGCTGGCCCCAACCTTCTTCCTACAACCCACCTGGGATACCACGCTTCAATCATCCATCACGCAGTAACTCATCCGACCCGACTTCTGACCGCAACCGCTAACAGCATCACAGCTGCACCGTCACGAAGAACCCGTACAGACAGTGGCTTGAGCTAACAAAGGCTGTGAAGCTGATCAACGGCTGGTGAAGACGAGGAGGACGGCGTACCGCGATATCCAAGATGGAAGCTGGCTAATCGCGGGGTTCTGTGGAAGAAATATGTTAAGTTTTATGTAAGTTTAGTTACCTGAAGTTGAAGATATTTAGCATCGGCAGCAAAAAGAGGATTAAATAAGTCATAAGATAGATCACGTAACTAAATAAGCAAATTAGCTGTAATATCAGTGTACCATTAATATAAACAGGGGAGTAATAACTATTATATATATTATATAGAGGTCTTCTTTATTAGCTGCCTCTAAGGCAGGCCTAATAGCTAGATTAAGATTATGGCTACTTATATAGTAGGCATAATTATATAGCTGCAGGCTATTTCGTAGCATCGAGGCGGTATAGCTGTTATGCTGTTAGCAAGAAGGGTCAGAAGGTATGGAAAGTCGGGTCGGACAACGTACTTGAGTGTGATAGATGAATTAGGTGTGGTATGTTATAAAGGTCCTTTAGATGGGTTGAAGGAAGAAGGTTAATCCAGCTGCTGAGATACCTGCAGTTGGTATTTATACTGCTTGGTTAAGGCAGCAATTGCATTATTAAGGCAGATAAACCCTATTTAATTCTAATTTCTATAATAATAGCCTGCTATAGGGGTCTTACTATTTAAACTCTTAATAGAAAAGCTAAAAAACTTAATAGCCTTATAGAAGCCTAAAGATAAGGAAAAAAAATTAAAAAAATAAAAAATAAAATTAGTAATATTATTAGTAAGGCGGGGTAATTCCAGACTTTTAGCTATTAATTTTGGTATAGACTGAGATCTAGATTCCCGGACGGTCCTGCTACCACGGATAAAATTGCCAAAGCCGATACGCTGAATGCCACTTTTATTCCCTCGAAACGTCACGATGATCAATGCCCATACTCCTTATAAGCAAGCCTGGACGCTAAACCAATGTAACTGTATGTATAAAGCTTGTTCCGCTCGATGACGCGCTGTGACTATAATATTCAATGCCACAACCAGAGCGGTTTATCCTTCGGGTTTGGGCACAGATATTAGCCACACCCCTCCCACCCACCCTCCCCGCACGCACGCATAGCATTTCTAAAGGGATGTTCAGCTACCACGTGACTGGCTGCCTAAGAAGGTCGTCTTGTCCGATATATAAGGGGCTCTACCTGTCGTCGCCCTGGTCTTGGTTCCATTACTTAATTAATATAGTTTGATCTACAGATATTACTCCCTGAGGATTTCAAGCCCCTTCAAACTATTTGAGTTCACCATAGCAATCGTGCATGACTATTTGCTAAGCTGGTCTTGAGAATCATGCCTCACGAGCAATCAGTCTGTCCCCTTACACACAACTAATCAGAATCACATGCTTATAAATTGACAGACAGAACCTACTATCTTCCTCATCCGACATGGAGAGAAGCCCCCCAAAGTGGGCGGAAAAGACCAAGAGGGATTGTCGGCCCAAGGCAAAATCCGCGCATTAGAGCTCCGTATGGTCTTCGGAAAAGAGTCAGCCTATGATATTGGATATATTATGGCGGAGGAACCTCACCGCGGTTTGTGCTTTCTTTTCTTCTATTTCTCTCTTCTTCGTGAAATGTCTAATTAGGACAGAGTCTCACTTGCGTCCTTACGATACTATGGAGCCATTGGCTAAGGAGCTGAATTTGAAGGTCCATGACAGCGTCCAAAGGGATCAGTACGATAAGGTTGCAAGAAAAGCTTTGTCCTTTAAGGGTCCAGGGAATGTACTGATATGCTGGGAGCACCACGCTCTTGCGGGTATTGCCAAGGCGATTGGCGTTCAGGGATATGCAGCAGCGACTGGTTGGACTGGGGAGGTTGAGTATCCTGACAGCATGTTCGATTTAATTTGGGTTGTCCCACCGCCGTATACGGAGATCACGGAGGTACGGAGTGAGAAAGTCCCTGTCTTGGACGACTCAGTCCAAACGAACGCCAGCGGGGATGTTCTCCCTACTCTGGCCTCAGAAGGTAATTGAGCACTGAGGCTATGGAAAATACTTTTTATACGTGGTTATTACACACCTTATCAGGTAAAAACTGTATAATCCTAGGATTTGGGCATAAAACCTAAAATGTATTGACTTTTTTGCATGAAATTTTACTATGTAATCTTGATCCTTTCTACTCTGTGGCCGGCGTTAGAATTGCATGAGGTATAATCGAACTACGTGAGCACTAAGTTGTCATTCTATTAAGGCTAGATAGCTTAAGAGGCCTTAAGGATATGGTTAATTCACTGGCCTTTTCTCACACAACCGCGCAATAGTATGTCAAGCTCGAACGCCTAGTACTTAACAGCATAGCACTTCTAAATCTATCGCTTTCAGAGGATAGGTAATTGCCTACTTTAATAAGGGCACATGATAATATGCCAAATTACACAGAATCTGGCCTATATAAACATTAAGGTTCTTTTGAATATAAGGAAGATTATTTTAATACCTACTTATTCTTTATTTTAATTATAATTCTTTATATATATATATTTACTAAATTTCTCTTATTTGTATTTACTAAAGTAAGGTAATAATATAAAATTTAATACCTATTTTTATATATCTATAGGCTTTAGTAAGTAGCTTTAATAAAATAATATTAAAATATCAAGTATTTTTTTATAACTTTTAATTATAAGCAAGCTATACTCAGTATCATTAACATACTCAGTCCTAGAGACCTCCACGACATTTAGGCCTGGAATATTATACTGACACCACCCTCAAGTAACTATATACACAGTCTATTCAGTCAAACAGCCTAATGACAGCCCTAGGCTCTGGCAGTGGAAGACTGGGACAGTACCTTACCTTATGGCGAGCTAGAAGACCGATCTACACGTCTTGCGCACCACCTTCTAAGTCTCGGTATTAACTCGGCGTCCTAAGTTATTATGCCTTTATGCTTTAAAAAGTCAGTCTGGACATCAGGAGTTATGCTTATAGTTATGAGGACTGGGGCGTTTGTAGTTGCTTTAGATATCGCATAGCTCGAGGGACGACTATATAGCCCTTAATTTCTATTAAAAATTCTAGTAATTATCTATCTTATTTAAATTAAAACTCTTAATTTAAAAGTCTAAAAGCCTTAATATTTATTTAATTTTATATTTAAACCTAAAAACTTTTATATTAAGTTTAAAAGTTTTTTTTATTTTTAATATAAACTTTAATATTAGTTAGAAATTAAGTTTAAAGAATATATAATTTAGAGAATAATAATACTCTGTCTAGCTATATATCTTGTATTTATATTATTAAATCTCTTATATTAAATTATAAAATACCTTATTAATATTAATATAAGATCTTATTATCTACCTTAATAAAAAAGTATCTAAAACTCCTTATTAAGGCTTTACCTTCCTATTTAATTACTTTTTACTTTAGCTTTAAAAAGTAGTTATTATTAACTAAAAGTGTAACGGTTAGGGTTTTAAACAGGTAAACTAATCTATACTAGGTTTTATATTTACAGAGTTATAGGGCATTATACTAAGCAATAGCAAACTATTACGTCTCTTAATAGTTATTATTAAGGTAAAGAAGTCTTAGTTAATAGCTAGTAAGCTAAGTTCTATCTACTGCTAAATAAATATATATATATATTAGGCGGCTTATGGTATGTCGAGCCTGGCTTATGGTGAGTCGTAAGTCTATATCGTAAGCCGGTTTATGAGGCTTACAAAACGTTCCGGGGTAAGGCATAAGTTACTACGTAATTTGGTAAAAAAAAATAGAGTGGGGTACACGTGACGTAAGCGCCTTTTACCGTTTAGGTTATAATACAAAGTATAAAGAAGTAATATTTATCCTTTATATAGAAGATTTATTACTAAAAGGTTATAATTTCTTAAAAGTTTTTATAACTAGTAATACTATATATTAATATAAAGCCTTTTCTTATTTTTATATATTACTTTCTTTTAGTTAAGTATTCCTCCTAACTAGCTATATTAAGTATATTAAGTATAATAACTTTATTATTAATAATATATAGTTTATAATATATATTTTTAAATATTAAGTTATATTTATTAATATAATTTAACTATATTAGCTTTAAGGATTATTAGTTTTAATATAAATAAAAATTAAGAGTTATATAACTACTTGCCTAAGTAATAAAATAACTTTTTTTATACCTAGCTTTTCTTAGTATTATTAATTTATATTTTCTTAAAAATTTAAACAGAGGCCTAATAAGTTAAATCTAGCCTTAAATTCTATATAATTCCTTTTCCTATTTATTAATTTGTACTTTAAATTTAAGATTTAAATAAAGGCTATTTTTATAATTACTAATTTATTACTTAAGTTTATAGCTCTTTAATTTTTTAAAATATTAACTTAATTTATTAATATTTAATATTACTTACTTTTCCCTTATTTAAATATTAGGAATATATATTAAATATCCTTCATATAGATAATTTAAACTATTAATAGCTAAGACCTTAAAGGATTTTATAATAATAATTTCCTTTATTTTAAAACCCCTTTTTATAAAATCTTTAAGTAAGTATTTATTACTTTTAATATCTTAGTATTATAAACATATAATTAAGTTTATAAATATAGAAATTTAATAAATTAATAATTAGGTTTTATATAAAAAGTATATAAATACCTTTATTATTAAATTATCTTTAGGGTTTATAATATTAATATTATTAAATATTAAGAGTTTTTTAAGTTTTAATATAACTTTCGTTTTATTATTATTAATCTATTTAAATAAAGTAGCTTTAGCCTTATAGAGTTCTTAAGTAATAATAGTAAAATTAATAAACTCTTTAACTAGCTATAACCTTTCTTTTACTAATATAATATCTTTAGATTTATAGACTTTATATTTAAAAAGCTTTTAAGTAAAGTTAGTTTTAATATATATTAAGCTATATTTATATTTATACCTAGAGGAGTACCTTATATTTCTTAAGCTATTAATAGGAAAACCTTAAGCCTATTAATATATTACTTAATAAGGCCTAGTATTTATCTTTATATGTTTTAAAGGATAATAGTATAGCTCTAATAATGAATTTTAATTCTTTCTCTATAGTAATAAGGGCTATATAATAACTACTTAAATATTATAACTATTATTAAAAGTCTAGGTATTATAACTAATATCAATATACTTTTAGAGCTAATATCTTAGCTTATTAAGAATCTTCTTTAGGAATTAACTAATAGACTAATTAAAGTAAATACTTATTAAAATATATTAATAAGGATTATACTAGAAAGTTTAGCTTTCTTAAAGGTTTTAAGAATATACTTTAGATATTTAAGGTAAATATACTTATCTTAGAGGAACTTATTTATAGCCAATTTATTAAGACTTAACTCTGTTATAAAGACCTTAAAAGTAGGTTTAAAGAAAATAGCCTAAACTACGCTAGCCTTAGTTAGCCTTACTAAAAGCAACTAAACTAGCTAAATAGCCTAATTATCTATTAGTTAACTAATTACTTCTATAATATTTAAGGCGTTTTATTTTAACCTTAATATAATTTATTATACTAATACTTATAAGATTAGCTATAGTAAAGAAGTTAGATAGCTAGAAATTTAAGTAATTTATATAAGCCTAGATAAATTTAATTATAGTAAGCTTTATAACTATATTTAAGCTTAAGGCAATTTAATTCTTTAAACTTTTTTATTATAAGTTATTAAGTTAATTAAATAACTTTAATAAAGGAGATTTATGCCTAAATATAATAATTAAAATAGATAGGGGATTATTATTTTTAGTTCTCTTTTAAGTTTCTTATTAATAAATTTCTATAAATTATTTAAGCTAAGATAGCTAAAGTTAAATTTTAATATACTTATAGTAAATAGATCTTATATTACCTTTAGTAAAAGTAAATATTTAAGCTAAAAAGATTTTTATTTAAAACTATAATATTATAAATTAATAATATCTTTAATATATATTAAAAAAGCTAAAATAGATATCTTAAAAACTATATTAAAACTAATTTTATAAAATATAAATTAAGTATAAGTATAGGCTATAGAATTATATATTAAGAAGTTTATAATATCTCTTTTATCTTAATAGTAAATATAAGAGGCTATAAGGTTATACTTAAACTTAAATTTAAAGTAAAAAGGGCATTTTAGTAATATTATATATAACTCTAAGCTATTAATATTAGATATAAACTAGATAATTAGGCAGTATTATAATATTATATTAATAATACGGTTTATATATATTATTTTCTTATATAGGTTATAGTTACTTTTTAATTAATAATTACTTATAACCTTAACTAAGTATATATAGTTAAATAATATGCTTTTAGAGAATATTTAAAATATAATTAATAAAAAATTTAAAAGCCTATAGCCTAGCTAATAAGGTAGCTAAGAGACCTTTCTTTCTAACTTATTATATTAATAATTATAAATACCTACCTAGGCTTATTAGTTTAAGTAATAAAAGTATTTATAATATTACTTTAATATTTAAAAATATCTTAACCTTATTAGTAAGTATTATAATAAGTTAGCTTACTTAAATTAGGGATATATAGTTTATATCTTTAGTAAAATAGCTATTAGTAAGTTATTTAAAAGTAAAAAGCATAATCTTTATTATAAAAGCCTTTAGGGAGAGTTAGGTTATAATCTTAGGTATATCCTTAGCTATTATAATATAGAAACTAAGGATTTTAATACCCTTACCTATAGCTATAGTAATTCTTATAATAGAAGCTATTATGCTTAGTAAGTCTATTTAAAGCCTTAAATATTATAAGATATATAGGTAGTTAAGAAGAAAGATAAGGGCATTAAGAGGAAAGCTAATAATAAAAATCAAGGCTATAAAAGTAAATATATAGCTAAAATATTCTTTTTAAAAGGCTTAATAAGCCTAAGTATATTATTAATTATTACCTTTAAGTTAAAAATTATAAAAGATTAAGTAAATTACTATTTTATAAATTATTAAGAATTATATCTTTTAAGTTTATTTATAATATAAATTACTTAAAATATATAAATTAAATACTTTAAATCTTTTCCTACTTATAGGCAGTAATTATAACAGCCTTAGAGATGCTAACCCCAGACCTTCTGTTATTTATAATATACTATTATAACATTACCTCTATTTTACTATATAAGGAGTTTTAGAACCTCTCTTAGTCTTCTTTTAGTTAGCCTTTTTAAATTATCTTAAATAAGTCTACCAGCAGTTTTAAGAGGTTATCTACTAAGGTTGCCCTGTGGTAGACAGTGGCTTCAGACACGGAGACTGTCTTGAAGCTGCCATCGTTCAATCTATTGTCCGGCCGAACTTCTTTTTAAGCCAGGCGAATTACATTCTTTAGATATCCAAAAGCAGACCAAGAAGTAACAGCCGCAACACCGTTCGGCCTCAGAGCGCGGTATATCTCTCTGGCTCCTGCAACCCTATCGGTGAAGAAGAGGATGCCCAAGTTGGTAATGCTGTGGGTGAATGGCAGTCAGTTGAGTACCTTGATGTCGCTGCTTGGCTCACCTGATGACTTCCCTCTGCCAATTAAGGTCAGTAAGCAGGGACAAAACAGTGGCCTAGGGATTTATTAGATATATACTCATGGAAGAAGCGACACCCTAGGATCACTCCAACCTCTAGGAGCGGCATTACAATACCGCTACCTTAAATAAATAGAGACTTTTCAACGTCACTCCCGTATAACAAGAGGTAGCATATATACTATCGCGTGTTCCACAATCCTACGCCTACTTAGCTTGCTAGCTTTCAATACAAGTTAATTACTCAAGAATACTTCTAGATGTAATCAGACGTGATTCGCAACCTACGCTCAGTACGTTCTGCCCAGCCACAAATGCCAACATAAACCAATCGGAATATGGTTTACTACGTTGGGCACCTTGACAGTCACAGTGCGTCCCTAGTCATGAGGGAAATATATTCCGGCGCAGGAGCGAAAACTCGTGCCATGCTACCTACAGTAATGCAAAGGTTTGCTCTGAGCCTGAAAGGGTCCATCATTGAATACAAGCAGCTAAGTAGAAGAAAGAGGACAGAGTCAGGGGGTATCGTAAAGATTTCCCGTCAATCCCGTTCAGCCACGGACTTTTATTAAGCATTCACGGCTTAGTGTATACTTACGGTGGTGTGATTATGATTCCGTCTTTATAGGTTTCGCACGACCACTCCTCGATGTTAATGTGAGATTGTGAGAATCAGTGAGTAACAACACTTATCTAATCGTCACATATCAAAAGCACATCTCTCTCTTTGCACTCCCTTTATAACCCTCTGCTTTTTGTCCCAGCGCTGTCAGTTATGTGTGATGTAGAGCGGAAGGTTCCGTCGGATCCTCAGCAGGTTAAGTATACACTATCCACACATAAATAATTCTCACATTATCATCTTTAGAAAGTCAGCCCACATGTAACCTTTATATTTTTATGGGTGTTACGCCACGCTATCTAGTATCTATAAAAAAATACGAAAGCCACCGATACCACGCTTAGGCTCAGAGTACCAATCAAATGCAAAGAGAAGTAATTCATAAAGTAAAATTTAGTCCTAGGAGGTCAGATGCCCAGATAGTAGGGATTGTAAAAGTCGGCTGACCTATCTCTTAAGACACCACGGCCCTCCAAGCCGTACCCCGCCCCACATAACCCCCGTGTTCACACGGGTTCAAGCGGGGTATTAAAGTTGCTGCTTCATCACCTTTCTTAGGAAAAGGCCGATTATTTCACACCTGACAGAACAATGAATACTTCATCAGAGCCTGCCGGATCACAAGCTGTCAATGCTCTTGATGATAAGAGCGTCATCAAGGAAGTGCACAACGCCCAGATGCCTAGCTTACAAGAGCTTAAGCAGGGGCAGCCCCAACCTTCTAAAATATCGTGTTCTTATTACCTGTATTAGCTGACTAAAGTATATTCTTATGGCTTGCAGTCCCTCCAATAGTATAGGTAAGAGACGGGGCAATTTATTACTAAGATAAGGGAATGCAAATCGCACGCCGCAGACTAGGTACGGCTGCAAGAGGTGCAAAGTAGCAATTTGTAACAATGCAACCTTCTAGTACTTCTATCACATCCCAAATTGGGTGTGTAAGAAAGTACTCTTTGTTCTGATTATTTTAATTGGTCTTGCACCCTTGTCGGCACCCCGCTGGAGTCTTATGCCGCTTGAAGAGATAGACGGGTCAGCGGAGCTGCTGAGGAGTAGCGCCACGGATTGAATGCCTTGCTACGGGCTGAGTTTGTGCTGCGGAATGTGTGATGAGGCTTGAAAGGGGGAAGCTACGTTTGAAACGGGACCTATTATATTTGAAGCAACTACACTAATGCCAGCCATGTTTATAATATTGAACCTACGACCAGAGCTAAATATGCAGTATTACGTAGGCAACTAGTATTGTTTTAACACGCATTATTGCATTGCATCAGCATTTTATGCTGTATGGCATCTTAAGGCGTCATATCAGTTATGACTACTTGATTATAAGCATTATTAAAGGCTTGCTATTACTATATGGGTAGCTAGAGGTGGAAAAAAGCGGGAAAGATTGATTTCTGAGCTAGATAAGCTTAGGGCTAGAACTAATAAGGCAGACCTGGAATTCAAGCTGAGGTCCCTCTTAGGTGGTCGGCTCGCGAGAGACATAGTCACCATATATTGGCATTGAGGTGTTCTGGCCCTCATCACATGCATGGCACGTCCGTAAGAGGACGGACAGCTTTGCCATTCTTTGCAAGATTTTAACCTGTGACAAAGAGATATTCTATAGGGGCAAAGAGATTGACTTAGGATCTATATAGCTGGTTGGGTCCCTATTGCAACGCATACTCTTCGGCGCCTATACGTGCAAGGAAGAAAAACGCCCTGGCGCCAGAGTATTTCTTGTTTAACTCATATATGCACCTTATACAGTAACGTTAGCCATGAAGTTCTCAGTGCTCGTCATCATCTCGACCGTCTGGGTGAGAACGCTCGCTGCTCCATCGCCAAATAGCGGCTATGGCGATGGCGACGATCACTATCACTGCCATCATAAGAACGAAGGTAGCGATGATGGTAAGCACTGCAATATGCACACCCGTCACGCAAGACCTGTTCGAGGAGAAACATTGCATGGAACTCCCTCCCCGCCTTCGCCACTGACGCCTCAGCCCGACGACGATCGCCCCGGCCCGTCCCGACCCAACCCTAGTGGACCTCTTCTTCCCTCATCACCCGCGATCAACGTTGTTCCAATGGGTGGCAGTAAGAAGGGGACCGACACTACCATTCCACTTGCCAAGAGACAATCATGCGGCGGTGAAAGCATCGTTTTCGGCACCAGCACCGTCTTCCATAGTGATACTGCGACAGGGTCAAAGCCGGGCTCTGCTTCCGAACCCAGCGGTGCCAAATCTGGCAAAGTCATTTTCTCCACTAGTAATTGGATCGCCGCAATCTCTGTCGATGGTGGAGCCACGTTCAACACCATAGATCCAACCGTCTACGCAGGACCCGCGAATCCCGCTACCGATGCAGGATTTTGCTGCGACCAAGTTGTACAGTACATCCCGTCAATTGACCGTTTCGTTTGGCTTATGCAGTATGTCGCGACGAACGACACTAAGAACGTCAACAAGCTTCGGCTGATAACGTTCCGCCCCGACGACGTGGTTGCTACAGGTATACAATCATATATTTATACGGATATACTTTCATCAGGCGGCTGGCTTGACTATGGAGAACTCGGTGTCGGTAACACCCAACTCTATATCAGCGCCACTCTCTACGGACCAACATCTGGCCTTATGGTCTTCCGGGTTCCCATTTCGGCCCTCAACGTGGTCGGTTCCTATACTTATTGGCAAACAAATGCGAATGACGGGGCAGTCGCTCAAGGTTCCCGTCTTGCCCAGAATCCCGGTGCCGATGCCTTCTGGGCTGGACACTCTGATCTGGGAAAAGCCATCCGTGTTTTTAAGTGGTCGGAATCGTCAACAAGCTACGCCTGGAACGACGTCTCGATCGATCATTGGCCCACAGACATCTCCAAGTTCGTCTCCGCGTGTCCAGCGGACACAACGAAAAATTGGCTCTTTAGCAATTCGGCCAACAACATTATCGGTGCCACACGACGCCGCACCAACGAAGTCTGGTTCGCTTGGAACGCAGGCTCCGGGGGCGGATTCGCCAACCCTCACGTCCAAATTTTGCAAGTAGACGTGGGGAGCTTTCCGAGCCTTCCCAAACCTAAACAGTGGCAGATCTGGAACCCCAGTTTCGCCTTCGCGTTCCCGAATTTCTACACTAGTCGGGAATGTGGTGATGTCGGACTCGCTATTGCGTTCGGCGGCGGGACCTTGAATCCGAGCGGTGCTCTGGGTGTTGTCACTTCGGAGGGAATCCTGATGCAAACTGTGTATTATCCTGAACTGAGCAATACTTGTGAGGAGCGATTTGGAGATTATTTGGGAGTTAGGTCAGAGAATGGAGTGAATTATGAGGGGTTTATCTATGCGTTAGAGAGTACGCCAAGCGGGCCCCCTCTGAGGAGTCCGAGATATGTTGAGTTCGGGAGAGTGTAGGAGAAATGTTTTGTTGTTGCCTAAAACGAGTTTGGTAATGATTTGCAAAATGAAAATATTTGTCTCTAGTAACCCTTTTTTGCCTAATATATGTTATAATTATACTTAAGGGTTGTTGAGCACGTACTGGGGTGTTAAGTATAAGCAGGGATGGTTTAAGATTATGAACCGAAATGGTAGAACTTTTAAGGGGTAAAATTTAGACCTAACAGAACATAAATATACGAGCCTGCATCAACTGAGCAAGGAGGGCAATTATAGACACAAGAGGACAAACAGCACACAATTCACCCAAATATTTAACAAGACATATCTGGCAGCAGAGCTGCTGTCAGATCAGATTAACAATCAAATATATTAATCAGATCAAGTAACTCCATATGTCTATCTATCTGATAAATTTATAATTTCTTGCACAGCAAGTGGCTACCCTAGAACGGTCAGATGATCTATTTGTTCTGGCTCTACAATTGGAAGCTCTTTCAATTGGCTGGCTATTTGAGCGTCTTAGGGGAAGGTGTCCAGATACATTGACTGATAGTAGGATCCTGTACTCTTTCTTGGCTATTGCAAAGAGGCTCTAGGTTTATTAAACCATAAGTCAAACTCAACACTGGGGTTTTCAATGGATTTAATACCTATCGTAGGTAGCATGTGATATCTTTCACTGGAATCTCTACCGACAGGATTTTGCCATTCTCTACCAATACCTTTGCGTCTCTCTTAAGAAGAACCTGCATAACTCATGCTAAGAGCCTACCATAGTAGAATCACGCTTCTAGAGCGCGTTTTAAGAGAGCTTATATTCCTACAGCTCACAGATACGTAATAATGACTTACTAAATAGTTATTTATCAAGAACCAAGACAGGCCACACAGTGGGTTATGGTTCTTTCCTGTAAACATTTGGCTTTTTAGCATTAAGGATGGCAAAGCACATTCGCTCCAGGGACCCGGCTATAAATTTCACTTAAGGTACTAATCTAGCCCCAGTTATGGCGTCACGAGAGAGAGATAAAATGGTTGGGGGACTATGACTGGGTTTGGCGCTGTGGCGGTCTTGTTGTTTGCTTTTGGGGGCTTGGTGTCTTAGTTGAGAAAACTGAATGGAATATTAGAGTGGGCAGAGCTGGATAGGAATTTAACTGTGAAAAGATCGAAAATGCAGGTAAAACCTCATAGACAAGGATCTCCTAATACCGACCACTACCACTAGCCAGCAATCTCGTGAGAGAAGAATAACATCTTAGTAATTAATTCTCTATGTTGCACTCAGTATACAACGCTAGTTCTTCAGCATTGGCTTTACATCGCAGAGGAAGATCCAGGCTTTTATTATAATTAGTATATTAGTACTATTAGGGTTACTAGAAAATATAACCTAGCTAATTCTCTAATTAATATATATGTTTTTTATTCTTAGCTAATTTATATTAAGGAGAATATTAACTTCTTTATTTAAAAGAAGGATATTAAAGTCTATTTTTTATTATTATAATTAAAGTATTATGTTTTTATATTAAGTAATAAGTAGGGGTCTTACTTTTTTTTCTAAAATAACTTTAGTTATATAACTATTTCTAAGTTAATAAAGTTTTATTTAGCTTTATAATTAATTTATATATTTAGTTATTTTCCCTTAATTTAAATTTTTAATATTAAGTATTTTAATATTAGGTTTCTATATAACCCTAAAGTATTTAGCAGTCTAAGTTATTTTTATCCTTACTTTATACTTATTTATTACTTTATTATAAATAATATATTTCTTTTCTTAATACTATTTTAAGTATTTCTTTTATTTATTTTCTTAATATTATATATTAACCCTGGCTTAGTACTCTAGGTTATTATTAAGTTTTTCCTTTTTATTTTAATAGTATTTTTTTTTATTCTTAAAATTTAATACTTTTAATATTCTTATTTTTAATATATTTTTCTCTTTTAAGTTAATACTTTATTTTATTATCCCTAGCTAGTAGGTTTTCTATACTAGCTTCTTTATAAGTAAGAAATAAATCTTATAATTCTCTAATTAAACTATCTATATATAGGTTTTATTTTTTAAATTTCTTAATAGTTCTTAAGCTAGTAATATTATAGCTATTCTTATATACCCTTAGTATTTAAGTATATATAGCTATTTATAAGTCCTATTAATTAATTAGTCCTAAGGTCTACTTACCTTAGTTTAAGTCCTTAGGTTTCTTAAGTTTTAGGTATTAATATATTATATATCTAAGTTAGTTATAGTTATAGTATTTATATTTAAATATATTATATATTTTTTTAAGGTTTTTACTACTAAGTTAGGTTACTTTAAGTATTATTAATTTAAATTATAATTTATATAAAGTATTATTTAATTAATTACCTTATTATTATTCTTAGTTTTAAGAGTTATTTTATTTATTATTATATTATTAGTTTAGGTAATATAAGTTAAAGTTACTTTTTTATTTTATTCTTATTTTAATAAACCTTTATTTTTTATTTTTATATTATTATTTATTAATTTTAATTACTATAATACTATGTTTTATAATATTATTAAGTTAATTTACTTTATATAATTTATTCTTAATTTCTTCTTTTAATCCTTTATAATAAATTTCTATAAAGGCTTTATTATTTTATTAAGTCTTAGAGGCAAGTTATTAAAATTTAATAAAATAAGCTATATATAAATAAATTTACTTATATATTATAATTTTAATAGCTATTAAATATTTTATGTTAATTACTTTAAAATTATCTTTAAATATAATTTTAAAGTTCTTTTAATTAATAAAGATATTAATAAGTTCCTAATTTTATATAATTTCTTTAATTTTGAAGTAATTCTTAAAAATAAGTTTAAACTAGTCTTTAATATTTTTTTAAATTAATAATATAATATATAATACTTACTTTATTATATTATCTAGTTTAATTAAAAATATGTAAAAGTAAGCCTTTATTTAAGTTAAGAATAAGATTATATTAGCAGTCTATCTTTTAAAAGGTTTTAGCTTAAGTAGCTTTAATACTTCCTTAATATCTTATCCTTAAGAAACACTATTATTATTTCTAGCTAAGTCTATATCTTATTTATTAATATATACTTATAAATTATAAATAGTATTATATATTTAATAGATCTTAATTATTATTTTAATTATATTAAGTAGTTTTTTAATATAAAGAGATATTAGGCTAGTTTTACTAAATATCTTAATAATATAATATTACTTAGTTAATAATATAATATATTTTAAATAAAAGCTATTAATATATAATAGTTAAGATTTTAAATAGGTAAACTAATTTATATTAGATTTTATATTTATAAAGTTATAAGGTATTATATTATATAATAATAAGTATTATATCTCTTAATAATTAATATTATAATTTAAGCTTATTAAGGTAAAGAAGTCTAATTAATAGCTAGTAAGCTTAAATTTATAAAAATATAAATAAATATAATTTATATACTAGAGGTATCTTTAGTAATTAATAAGGTTATTAAGGGATTAGTAATAATTTTAATAAATTAGTATTAAATATATTAAATTAGTTATAATTATAAAACCTTAATGCTAATTATCTTTAATAGGAAATATAATAATTAGTAGAAAGTATAGGGTATATATAATAGAACTGCTAGGGTTATAATAATTTTAGTCTTAAGGAGTATATTATATTATTAAGTTATTATATATTAAAGTTATTATTACCAGACTTTTCAGACCTATTTAAAACTTTTAGCTTAAATGTGTAATTTAAGAATTATATAATATTAATAAGACTATTTATAAATATATAAGTCGTTTTTTAGAAAAGTTAATTAAGTAATAATACTTAATAACTAGTTTTTTATTTAATATAATTATAACACTAATAGTAATATTACTATTTTAACTATTAGATATTATAATTATTATTAAAGCGTTAGATAAATATAAAAAAGATACTAATATTAAGCTTCTTTTTAATCTCTTTTTTCTCTTATACTTTAAGGGTTCTTTATATATTTAGACTAACTCACCGCCACCCCACACACCCCCCATCCCCGCACACCCGTAATAGCATCACAACCAAATCCGTAGATAACTTCAATTAATTCTACAATAATGAGTATTTATTTAATTTAACTGAGAGTTTAGAAACTGATTTATGAATATTATATCTACAGTCTGTATTTTTGGCGGATTCTTTTTATATTATTTTCTCTTATTTCCCTCAATCTAATATAATATATTCTTTTCAGCCTAATTACAAGCCAAGATAATCTATTTAATCTTAGGGAAAGCCTTATTAAGGTCAAATTAAACGGCGACTCAGCTAGTAGGCTCTCTTGCTGCTACTAATGCCTTCAGTACTGCTTTTTCCTCCTCTAGGCATTAAATTTAACTATTCTTCTAGTTAATATATTTTATTACCTTCTTTATAATATAATTAAAGTCATAAATAAAGGTATTTCCTTAACTTTATATAGCTTCTAGTTATTTTTAAATATTAGCACTTCCTTAAGGCATACTCTAGATTATATTAGCGATTACTTAGGCCTTCCTTAGTATTATAGGCCCGTTAAAGCGCTTGCGTTTCTTCTCCCTTAGCTTCAACGCCGCTAACGCCTTCTATAAATTAATTAAGAAAAGCCTAGAGGCTAAGAAACTACTTATTATATTCCTATAGCTTAGGGCTTTTAATAAAGCCCTCTTATAAGCTTTTAAAAAGAGTTATTATTAGTATAGCGAGGTTGCTTTATATAAGGCCTAAGAGCGGGTAAACTAGCGATAGTATGTTTTTAATGGCCTAAATACGGTAATATTAAGCAGCTAAGTAATATATAATAAGTATAAGGGTAACCAAGAGAGCCAAATCTTATATAGCTATGCCTTTTTTATTAATTTCGCTATAATATATAACTTATACTAGTCTAGGACTAATAGTCTCTATTAATTAGGATCCTTTGGCTTAGTTTGCAGTATAAATACCCCTATAAACTAATAGATAAAGATATTGCTATTAGACTAACCGGTTAGACTGTAAGTATACTTCTAATTAGGAAAAACAGCTAGAAACCACTATCCTTAAAGGTTCTCGCCAGTAAAAACAATATAAGGCATAAAATACTAACTATCTACTAATACAGACTTAATTATTAAGCTTTAAGTTATATTATTAGACTTTATCCTCTTTAAGGAAGAAGTCATTACTATTCCGGCTACTATACTACTATTAGTCTTACTAATTTAAATGCCGGTCTTATTAACATTATATATATAAGGCCTAGTTATCTTCTTTATATTAATTACCTAGTTAAAACTATTGTAATACTTGGAAAGTAACTCCTTTATTATATAACACTTCCTTGCAGATTCTATAACTTATAATAGCTTTAATTCTATACTTAAATAGCAGGTAAAGAATCTATTAACCTAGTTCTTACTAATATAATAGACTTGCCTATTAACTAATAATAATGCCTATATAAAGTTATAAATATCCTTCTTTATAAGAGGCTAAAAAGCATGCTCTTATTTAATAATATAATTAACTAGGTTATCTTCCTGCTCTATAGTAAGTAACTAATCTTTTTAATATGCCATATAGATATCCTGGCCTCTAGCACATTAATTATATAATATTAAGAGCTTAACTAAGTGTTTTACTACTAAAGGCCATAAACTAATAATTTCTATGTCCTTAATAGCTAATAACATCTTCTTTTTATAATCTAATAGTTATAATTCTATTACTATTAAAATAAAGAAAAACAGATTTTATTTAATAAATATAGAATAAAATAAAGAATCCTGTATTAATAATGCATTAATGGTATTAAAGTGTGCGGGGACAGGGGGTGTGTGGGGTGGCGGTGAGTTAGTCTAAGTATATATTATTAATAGACTTAAACTTCTAATATATCTTAGCCTTTCTACTAGTAATAGTACTTATTAAGACCTAATACTATATAAAATCCTATACTTAATTATTAAGTATAATATATATATCTTTTTTTACTATAAGTCTTTTTATATTTATAATAGCTTTAATAAAGAGGCAGTAAAAGAACTAAAACTATAAGTATATTAGCCTAAGGAAGCTAACCTTAAGGAGCTTATAAGAGCGGCGGTGAGAGGTACGACCCTGAAGGGCTTTTGTGGTGTCCTCAGTGTGTTGGAAGTGAGGATTGGGTCTAACGACAGGATGGTAGACTTTGCCGAGTTTTTACCCCTTGGTAAGCTTAGTCGTCCCTCATGCTTGTTATCCCTTTACACGTTTCAGTTCTTTTCGATTTTTGTTAGCTTGATTTGTTTTAAGGAGATTAAGTAGAGTTTAGAGAAAGGTCTTCTAGCCGGCTGGTACAGCTGCGACCCGAAACAGGGAAAAGGGAGACCCCGGGCGGTTCTCAGGGGGTGTTGACCGGCCCCACAGGGCACCGAAAAGCGAAAAGGACATAGTAGAAGGGGGAGAGCTTTTTGGTTCATTAGTTAATAGTTTATTTAAGGTCTGAAAGGGGGGGAGAAAGTTCAAAACAGTGCAAATAAAGAGAGTAGAGTTTAAAAACAAATAGTTAATAAAGAGCGATAGGAACTAATAAAGCTATTTAAATTAAACAATTAAAACGACAAGAATCATACCTCACCTATCTTTATCCATCCTATGTCAACTACAATTGTTGGTCTCAAAAGTCTTATCTCTGACCCTGACAACTGTGTTATCATCCGCCACGCCTGCAGACCATGCCTCATCCTAAAGGCAACAAGCTGGAAGCACTACCCACGGGCAGGGTCGCACAGGATACGAGGCGATAAGCTGTGATCTAATATAGGCCAGCTCTCAAGCTCTGACATGTGCCTAGTGGCGGAGCTACGGTAGTAGGCTGACAAGAGACCAATTGACTTCTTCCGCATAGTCACCTAAACCGGAGCTGAAGGGGAAAGCCGCGGAGAAGCCACCTGCCGAAACTCTAACCCGTCTACAAGGCAGGGCTATGATTGTGGATACTGGGAAGGAAATCCTCCCGGGCGGAATGGGTGCTGTATATGCATGCTCTTATTATATAATAGGCTTTGTTAGTGTAAGATGCTATGGCAATTAATTATAAGTATTCTATCTTACTTTTAAATATTACTTAGAAGCCTAGGCCGCACCTACTATTATTTTTACGCTTAAGATATATATGCATATACCCAAGACGTACTCTCCCGGAACTATAAACTTACTAGCCTTACCTAAGATTCAGCTAGACCACAGCGGAAACAGGCGTGATTTATAGCAGGGATAAATAGTTAGTCATCCCCATTCAAAGGTCTAGCCCCATATTCGTTACACATGGATCTTGTGGTCGACTTCGATTGCCAACGGCCCAGGGCCGGCATCCCAACGAGGGAAGCGATACCATTTTTCCTCCCGAGATACAGACTTCTACATTGTCGTCATGGAGACCCATCAGACGCCAGTATGACCGTTAGACACTCCTGGTCGAGAGGGTAAAGGCGACAGCTTTCTGGGTGGCTGTCTAATCACAACTTTAATGGACCTATAAATGATCTTGTGACATTGAACTCTGCATATTCAGAGAAGATATATATCAGGTTGGAGCTCACAAACTGTTTCTCGAACGAAAGGGATGAGGGTGGTCCCTATCACTACGGTCTCTCGAAAGACGATGGCTTGGATGAAGTGAAAATCAGAGGTTTATTCAACACCGCGAAAGATTTATTCCAGAAAGGCTGTCCAAAGACTCCGTAGAACAGAAAGTTACTTCTATGAAACTGTACATAATATCACATTTTGCTCATCTCGAAGAATTTCCACCACTTTTGGCACACTCTACCACATTAAACCATATCCCTATCCACTTCCTTAGTCTTGTTGTCTCGAGCAGATAACCTAAGACCACCCTGGCGCCGCCAACTGAAAAGAACATGAGGTTTGTTTCTAATAGACTCTCTGAGCTTTTCTTCACTACGATCCATCCAAGTATGGCCTACAGCACAGCTGACAGGGTGCAATGGCGCTCCCCCCAGTAGAAAGTGATCAGATGCGTGTCGGTCAAAGGAGGCAGTGATGTCTAGATCGTTTGCAATTTGTTCGCAAAAGACGTCAAGAGGCAGATCGTTGACATCACGACCAAAAGGATTTTCGATTTCTTGGCCAATGAATAACAAGCCGAAGATAATATAAGCCGCTGTGATAGTAGCGGGGATAGCAATCCAGCCAAGTGGGCCAGTCAACTGGAACGGCAAGAGCATGACATACACAAAAGTAATCTGGCTGATGGCAATGGTATATGCGATGGGCAAAGGGGTGTTGAGGACACGATCGCAACCGACTGCAACGTCGTTAAGACTGGTAAGATGATTGTAAGCGATGGTCTGATGAATTGAGACTGGTAACTGTTTGTTGGCGATGATGGAGTCGAGAGCCATTGCCAGGTGGTTCAAGATCTCAAGAGGAAGGTTTCCTTGATGCTCCTCGGCTCTCTTGAGGTGCTTTCGAGGGTCACTTTGAGCAAAGGAGAGACCAAGGTACTCGCCGGCAAACTTGCTGAAGTTTGTGACCTGCTTCGTCGGCGCGGTTGTCTTTCCAGCAAACGTATCAAGATGTGCGATGTAGGGTTGCATGTCAGGTTGACTGGCGCAGTGTTCGAAGCGGAGGGTGTGTTTGAGGGCAACGGCATAACCGGCAATGAGTTTCAAGGCCCCAAGCTTCTTAATGAGAAGTTCGCGAGGGTCTCGGCCGCCAGGACTGCTGTCATCAGCATGGATCCAGATGATACGGCCAAGAGTCTGAGATGCAGTGGCCAACGTTCCCCAGTATCGACGACCCTCAGCATAGCGTTCATAGGCTGTAGACGATCGGAATGAAAGGCTCAGACCGACAACAAAACCGAGAATGGTGAGCAGAACAGAGTTAACGCTCAGGTCATGGACCTTTTTGGAGATGACGGTAATAGCAGTTGCCCAGCAGGCAACGAGCAAGAGCGGAAGGATCAGCGAGGGCATGATGGACCCATGCAGCTGTAGGATAAGGGGCCATTTGGAGTGTCTTTGAAGATCCCGAGGGCCGCTGAAGTAGTTGTTATCTTCCCCATCGCTGGATATGGGTTGTCGGTTGGCATTGATGGACGGAGAAGGCGGGCAATTGTGGTGGTTTGAAGAGTTTCCAGGGCCTGATATGCGTTCTCTGATCTGTGCCTCCGGATATGGCTTGGATTGCGATACGTGATCTCCACCGGCGTCCGACATTTTGATGAAGATCTTGAAATTGGGAAGAAAACGATTGACCGTACTTTTAGGATACAGAGGTAGAGCCGAGAGGGGCAAGAGACTTAAGACCTAGAAGTGATGTGGCCAGGTAATATAGCCAAAGTGTACAACGACGCTTACCAGGGAGGGAAATTGAAATTCCTAAAGGGGTCCCAACATTCGAGCAGCTTGCAGTGCATTTAGCGCTGATAGGTGACGGGACTTCTATCGTGGCGGGACTAGCGCTCAGACTATTGAAAGTTGTGAAATAAGCTTCAACATAAGAATTTGCCAAGGTGGCCTAGACCAATGTTTCGGTAAGTTAGCTTGGGTACTCTAAATCCTGACTAGACGCCACAGGGGTTCTGCTTCTGACTCGTTGATGTCTGCTTCTTTATTTACAGCTACAACGGAGGTGTTGAACAAAATGGATTATATTCTATCCATTGATCTAGTTAAGCTCGAGACATTTCGAGATCCACCTGGTCTTGAACAAATATGCAGCCCCGGCGCTTAATCCCTGGCTCAAAAGGCAGTTGATTTTTGGGGCTAGTCCAAGATAAAGCTAGTCCGCAAACTATCAAAGCTGAAATGAAGATGCAAGCCAGCGCTCGGCCCATTGAGATGCTCGCGTGACCACAGATACGGCATGGCGCTGTCGCGCGACGCATCACAGGGAAATTGCGTTGTTGATACAGTCCACCATGCAGATCGGCTTCTCGCACTTCCGTATGTGTTATCCCTTGGTAGTTGTCAAGGGTCAACAAATTCTTGACCCCTTGAGGCTGTGGCGGTACAGCGGCACCTCAAAGATATACGTGGCCAGTTTTCAGCGGCACCTCTATGCTGGTGGTTTATCTGCGTACAATGAATGTACAGTTAATGTCGAGAAGCTTGCTTGAGCCCGAAGATATTCGGTACTAAAAATCATCCTTGCAGGGCGTCGTCCCGTTCTTAAGGGATAGACTGCCTGGAATGCACTAAAGCGATCCTTAAAATTCTTTAATCTATTCCTCTTTTGTCTATACAGTAGGTCCCGGCTACAGGACTTACTAGAATTATTAAGTTTTTTATTTTTATTTTAGTAATACCTTTGCTATTACTCTTAGAATTTAATATTTTTAATATTCTTCTTTTTAATATATTTTTCTTTTTTAAGCTAATTTTTAATTTCCTTATTCCTTATTAATAGGTTTTTTATATTAGCCTTTTTATAGGTAGGAAATAGGTCTTATAGCTTTTTAATTAAATTATTTATATATAAATTCTATTTTAGTTTTTATATTTTTTTTAAGGCTATAATATTATATTTACTCCTAAGTACTTCTAATACTTAAGTATAAATAGCTATTTAAGAATTTTATTACTTAATTAGTATTAAGGTTTATTTACCTTTATTAAGGTTTTATAGTTTATATAACTTAGGGTATTTATATATTATATATCTAAATTAGTTATAATTATAATATTTTATTTTAGATATATTTTAAGGCTTTCTTAGGCCTTTATTTCTTTATTATATAGCTCTAAGTATTATTAATTTAAATTATATTTTATATAAAGCATTACTAATTTAATTACCTTATTATTATTTTTAGTTTTAAGAGTTATTTAAATTATTATTATTATATTATTATATAAGGTAATATAAGTTAAAGTTACCCCCTGTTTATATTAATAATATACTTATTAAACTGTTAATTAATTAATTAAACTATCTAACTAGGGCCTTTCTAATACAGCCTAGCTACTCTTTAAAAGAGCAGTAAAATATTATATAACTCTTCCATTTTAGGAAGAGCCGCTTGTAACGGTTAGGTCTAACTATGTTAAACTAAGCCGTGCTGGGTTTATTATTAGCAGATTGTGTAGGGCGTGTAACTAAGCTTATCAAAGTGTCACGTCTCTTAATAGTAAATTTAATATATGTTAGGCTTAATTTATATAAAGATATTTTATTAATAGCTAGTAAGCTAAGTTCTATAAAAAGTGCTAACAAATATAATCTATATACTAAAGGTAGCCATATAGCTTAGTAGGGAATAAGCATAATCCTAAGGTTAGATCTTACAGGATCGTTAGTAATCCATAGTAATCCATCCTTAGAGCGCCGCGATCCAAGTAATCCAATAGAAGAGGATTGTTACAGAGAGAAGTGATCCTAGTGTGATTGGTGGAAATTGTGGGGGCCACGTGACATAGGCGCGGGGGTTGTAACACCGCTCCTTTGACTAAAATGCCCTGCTAATTGGCATCCAGCGCCGTTTAACAGCACTAATATTACAGCTAATTTACTTATTTAGTTACGTGATCTATCTCGTGACTTATTTAATCCTCTTTTTGCCGCCAATGCCAAATTCATAACTTTAGGTCTTTAACTTTAGGCAACTAAACTCTTTTAGGGTTAAGCGTTTAGGGTTAAATTAGTAATGCCAGTAAGGCCAGGGTTAGCAGGATTGTAAATGTCTTTAGTAAATTCGAGCGCTAACTAGGAAATAATAATTAAAATTTACTAAAAATTAATAATAGTAAATAAGTATATAAAAAGTAAATAGAAGTATAATATAAGGCATAATTAAATAACTAATAAGAATTAAATCTATTTTAACTTTAATTTATACCTTTTATTTTATTATTTATTATATTTTATTATTAATTTAGTTTAAGACTTAAGCCTATTAAAATACTACTTATTAAATAATATTATACCCTTATTTGTGGCTTATAGTAGTAACTAATAGTATTACATTTAAATACATATAGTACCCTTATCTATCTCTTAAAGCTAGTATAATAAAGAATAAATATATATGCTAAATATCTTAACCTAAGAGGAGATATAAAGGTATATAAAGCTTAAGGTTAAAAGAAAATTATATTTAATTATAAAAATACCTTTTAAATATATTAATAATTTATAGCAAAATAAGTTAAGTTAATTCTATAAATAAATAATAAGTCTAATATTTAAGATATTATATAGTAATTATTATCTTCTTAACATAACTATAAGATTAAAAAGAATATATATAATACTATAATTCTTAATATAAAAGTAAGTATTAGATATTATACTTATTCTTTTATAAAACTACTACTTACTATACTAGTCTTTAACTTATATAAAAAGATAAAAGGCATTCTGCTAAGTTAGTATAATAATATTAATATATTAGTAATTAGTATTATATAAGCTATCTTATTTTTATATAGCATGCCTTATAATCTTACTTAATTATCTTATTTTAAGAATAGCTAATTATAAGAATTAGTACTTATAATAACACTTTTTTTATATTATAATTAATAAACTATAAAAGGTAAAGTTAATAGGTATAAACTTTATTTATATAAATATAAATAATATAAGTAAATATAATTATAACTATAATAAAGCAAGTAAGTAAGCAATTTAATAAAGATCCTATTTCTACTTATATAGCTAAGGAGCATAATTATTAACTTTATATAGGTTTATTCTATATATATTACTATAGGTTATTATATACTATTAGTATAAAAAAGGGCAAATAAGGCTGCTTAGAAATAAGACTAGTTAAGGTAATATTATTTAGTAGCCTATTAGGATAATATTACATTTTTAGGCAATTCTTATCTATATATTATAGGCAGCTACTTATTAAATTTTCTATAAAACCTACTTATAAAAATAGTATAAGAAGAAAGCTCTTTACTTAATATATATCTTTTTTACCTAAAATTTAATATTAAGCTAATATTTTAACTTACTAGTATATAGTAATAAATAATATAATAGTATTACCTTATATTAAGTAGGTAACTATCTAATCTTTAGTGTTTTTTAAAGAAGTTAAACCTTATCCCTTAATTAGTTAATTATAATAATATATAAGCTATTAATTATATAAGTAAAGGAAATAACTTTATAAGTAAATAATATATCTCTATATATTATTTATAAACCTAGTTATTTTAAGAAAGACCTTGCCCTATTACTATATATATAAATATATCTTTATATTTAATAATATTATAAGTAGCAGCACCTTATAAAGGCATAATAGATTATTTAATAATTTAATATTACTTAAGAACTTTTACTTATAGCTAAATTCTTAGGCCTTACTTTATATAATAACCTAGCCTTACCTATTTCTATTAATAAGGCTTAGCCTAAACTAAGCTATAAACTAGATAGCAAGCCTGGCCCTAAGTCTAGGGTAAAATTAATACTCTTTTTATTATCTTTATATAATCTTAATACTTATATAAAAAATAAAGATAATAATAATATATATAAGAACTTTAGGCTTATTAATAATATTATATTAAACCTATTAATCCTTATATAATTATTATTAACTAGCTTTACTTAATATAATACTTAATTACCTTAATATAAAAACTCTACTTCCTTACTAATACTAATCCCCCTATCCTTATTACCTTTACCTTTACTTAATTTATTTTTAATACTATTAGTAAGTAAAGATAAATCTATCCTTAGTAATTATCTTTAAGTAATTAATAAATAAAATATAGCTAATAATCCTAATTTCCTATATTAATAAGGTAATATATATAATTATATACTAGCCACTATGGCTTGGGACTCTTTTAGTGAAAGAGGAGACCCCTGCCAGGTTAGGGAGGTAACCGGCATAGCGAAATGTGCAGGGGAAGGGATATGGCGTCGGCAGGGGTCAGAGCAAAGTGAAGTAAAAGAGGATTTCAGTAAAAGAGTGGATGGTAATTGGTCTAAAAAGAAAATAATTTTCCAGCATAACTAGAAAGAAAAAAGAAAAACCAAAGGAACTGCCAGCTAGCCGGCTAGCTAGCTCTCTATTAATAAGGCTTATTATATATTATCTAGGGAAAACAAGAGAGGGAAAAAGAAAAGAAAGTTTAAGTCATTTAACTAAGAAGTAAAAGCTAAGTAAGGGAAGCAAAACCTAGAGGCAAGGTAAATAAGTAAATAAATAAGCCTAATAGTTAGAAGAATATATTAGATTAATTAATCCATTAACTAATATCGATATTAATTATTAATTAATAAATATATATAATAATTAATATTATTATAATATTATATAATATCTATTAATTACTTACTTCCTATATATATTATTACTTATATTTTATTTATAACTATA